ACAGGAGGTTACGGGGAGGGTGGTGGTTCAATCAACTACGGTGGATCGAGTAGTGCAGGATGGGACAAATACTCGCAACCTCCTCAACCAGCCGATGGTGTTGAATGGCCTGCTTGGGGGCCAGAGTGGTCTGAAATCGAGAATAACATTCGATCAGGGCGTACTTCGCATGAGCGAGAGGACGATGTTGGTGATCGTGGTCATGTTGATCCTTCTAGCCCGAGCTATCCATTCGAGTCGAGCGACGAGGATACTGAGGAAGATTTGAGATCAGTGAGCGAGGAGGAGGAAGATACTGATGATAACGAGGATGAGGCGGCATTTCGTGAGGCACCCACGCCATATTACACACAGGTTCCAACTCAATTTTTACATAGTCAGAATGATCCCCCCGAGTTTGTCCCTTTGCCAGTGTACAATCCGACGGCCAATTTGGAGGTGGGTATGGCGTTCACATCGAAAGACGCTGTGCAGGATGCTTTTACAGAAGAGGCGTTGAGGCGCAATTTCGAGTGGAAGGTAAAATATTCTGACAGTAAACAACTACATGTCATATGCAAGCATGATGCAGAGGGTTGTACGTGGCAACTGCGGGCTGCAAATATGAAGAGAAAGGGTGCTTGGGTGATTCGCAAAGCTGAGACGATCCACACATGCTCCTCTTCTATACTTTCCCAAGATCACAGGCAACTAAAAGCAAAGAAAGTTGGGAGAACTATTAAGCACCTTATAGAAGCACAACCAGATATCAAGGTGAAAGCTATCATGGCAGAGGTGAAGGATCGACATTCTTACACGATACGGTACAAAAAAGCATGGCATGGTAAGCAGAAAGCCATGGCTGAGGTGTATGGTGATTGGGAGGATTCTTATGCTTTACTCCCTAGACTTATGGGAGCAATGGAGGAGTCCAATCCTGGGACTGTTTTCGTCCCAGTATACAACAATGTATACACTGAGGATCAAGTTCGAGTACAGGATAAGCTGATGTTCCATCGTCTTTTTTGGGCTTTTAAACCATGCATTGACGGTTTTGGGTTGTGCATACCGGTTATTCAGGTATAGAACCAACTGATGCCGATTTTAAATGTTGTATTATTTTCTGTTACGTAAATTTCATACTAATTAGATCCTAAATTTTTATTCAGGTTGACGGAACTTTCCTTACTGGGAAGTACAGAGGATGTCTTCTAATTGCAACTGGCGTTGATGGAAACAGGCGGATTTTCCCGCTTGCATTTGCATTAGTGGAAGGGGAGAACAGCTTAAGTTGGGCATGGTTCTTTGACCAACTACACGAACACGTGACACAGCGGGAAGATATTAAGATTATATCCGATCGACATGCGGGGATTAGGAATGCTGTTGGTGGTTTTCCCGACGAGTGGGGATGGAGATGGAGATGGTGTATTCGACACTGGCTCGCCAATTTCCAGCACAAATTTGGGAAGAAGAAAGACATCAAAAATCAACTTTGGAATGCAGGTACTAATGTTTTTCTTATGCGATTTAAGTTTGTGTTTATTAAGCTGATGTTATTCATCATGTATTGACCAGTTTCGATTTTGTTCACCTTTCAGCGGTTGCACATCAACCAAAAAAGTATGAGCAGAAGATGAAAACAATTCGTCAGACCCACCGAGCTGGAGCAGTATGGGCTGAAGGTCAAGAGTTGCCCATGTGGACGTTCCATATGGACAACGGGGCCAGATGGGGCATTGCAACTACCAACCATGGAGAAAGTATAAATAATGTGTACAAGGGTCTTCGAGCGATGCCTGTTTCTGTCATCGTGGAGATGTCTTACTGGAAGGTCAACGAGTGGCGAGTTGCTCGGCTACAACAAGCTATAGAGAGGGAGTTGCAAGGTCATTCAATAGCACATGACGTATTCGCTCAAATGCAGAAGAACGATGAAAAATCAAGTAAGCATAAGGTTGTTCTTTTTGACCGCAGTGAAGGAATATTCGCTGTCGAAACAGGTATATGGTGTGGAGGGAGACGTGGTCACAATCGTCAAACGGTTAAATTGCACTACGAATTAGGGGAGTGTTCTTGTCAAAAGTATCAGAACGAAAGGATACCCTGTTCACATGCAATGGCGGTTGCTAAGTCAATAACCATGAACAGAAACAGCCTGGTGAGTCCTTACTACACTGAACAAGCGATACGGAACTCATATAATGCAGCTTTGAGCCCCATGCCAGATGAAGCGTATTGGCCTATATACGCTGGAAAGTTGATTATCCCACCGTTGCACCTAAAACGCACCAAAGGCCGTCCTAGAGTTGAAAGGATACACAATGAGATGGATCAAGTTGAACGGACGAGAAGGGGACCGAAGCGATGCTCTAAGTGCAGACAACCTGGTCACGACAAGAGGCGTTGCCCAGGACAACCATCATCAACTTAATTTGCATTTACTTGTATCCTGCTACTAAATTAATGGCTTGTTAAATTATTCATCACCGTTTACATTTGAAGTCCAAGTATTATGTTAACTCTAAAATGTTCTCCTTGTCGATACGATCGCGCTGCCGCAAACGGCTCGTTATTTCGACCTCAAACGAATAAGATACACGCGTTTTAGTTTTTAGTACGCAAAAGATACTTTAACGATACGATCACTCTTTGAACTCACTTATCTCACTCGTTTGGACTCGGAATTGGGATCTGTAAAATTCTATGTGATCGTGGTTGATTTTCCCAACTTTTTCGTGTTGAGGGGAGATACTGATTCTTGCTAAAATGATCCAGAAAATTAATTCGACAACTTAAGTGCGTAGGATAGTTTTTAGACAATGCAAACTCAAATAACACCTAAAAAGCACAAAAACAACATGGATAGTTCACTACAATGATAAAACGATAAATTCACTCATTTGCTTCATTTTGGCCCCCATCTCCACCTCTTCCTCCTCGTCCTCCACGACGTCCTCGACCCCTTCTTCCCCCTTCCGCCGCTGCTTCTTGGCGGGCTCGCTCAACGGCTGGTCGCGGATTTCTCTTGACCCGAGCCCCAACTGGGGTTACATATGGTGGTGGTGGTGGCTGAGATGGAGCGGTAGCTTGGCGAATGATCGGAGGTTGCGGAGTTTGTTGTTGCGGTGTCTGATACATCGAACTCTGTTGCTGATGTTGGAATTGAGAGAACCCATGAGAGAAAGTGTCCCACTCCTGAGATGCTCCACGACTCGATGACCCTCCACCGGCTTCCGCTGTAGGTGCCCACTGGTACTCGAACGGTTCAGGGATCTCGGTTTCTTGAGTTGTACGCACCTCATCGAATGTAGGTAGAGGCCTGCGTTTGCTCCTTCGTGGGGGCTCAACCGGGGGCACAATGGGTGCATCATCACGGAATGAGGGTCGTGCCGGGGCAGGAACGGGAGGATAGGCCACGACATCCCTCCTTTGCTCTCTTGTACAACTCAGGAGGTTGTTCATAAGTCGGGTCAACCAATTAGTCTTCCGCTCATCCATGGTTGGCGCACTCTCGAGGGTGTACTTGGCATGTTCCAAACCATCAACCTAAGGAAAGCACTTATCTTATCAAATTAACTAAACCTTAAAATAAATAGATTTTTGAATGAGGGAGATTAGGATGACTTACCAACGACCCCATCACAGCACCTTGCTTTGACACCCATCTCATGGTGAACTTCCGATACCACTGCATGTATCCATCGTGGTAGCCCATCGGTCTCGTCTCCGGCATCCCTTGCACCACCCATTGGGACCGATTCTCCCAGATGTTGATGTAGAATCCATGCTTTAGCACCCAGTTCTTTGCAGTGTGTCGGAGGTCAATAGCATGTAGCTCCCTGAAACCGGCTGGCGGGTCTTGTGGAATTGGTTGCTCCATTCGATATTGCCTCAAAGATCGATCGGGTAGGTGCCATTCCACCATGTGCCAGCAGATCAATGGCACTTTGCACAACCACGTCTCGTGATCCAGAGGGTGCCTAAGATGATGCAGCTCACCCACTTCACGTGGATATGGATCCCATATAACCTATATTCATTAAAAAATTCGGAATCAATGACCATTTACATTGACAAAATTTAACTTGTTCAAATATGGACAAAATATGATTACCTGATTCCACCATGGTTATCTAACTCAGAACTCAGAACGATAAAACAATAACGAATGCTCAGGTTGATGGTCATTCGTATTTGCTCCTATCCACCTTGTAAGTAAAAGTACGGATTCAATTTAGTTGAAATATAGCTAAGCATATAATAAATTAAATTGGTCTAAGTACGTAATAAATAAAATTAAAATCTAGCTAAGCATGCAATCAAAATTAAATTGGGCTATGTACAGAATAAATTCAATTTAAATCTAGCTAAGTACACAATCAAAATTAAATTGGGCTCAGTACGAAATAAACTTACTTGACACCGTAGGGGAGATTTTGCAGAAAGTTGAGTTCATCATCGTTTCTTCGGTATGGACGTGGGTCGGCAGGTGCGAACATCGGTAGATGCTCCCATACCCACAGTTGCAGGATGAACATCGCAGCACCAGCTTGCTTTGCCCCAACCTTCGAGCAAGTACACAGCTCCCGGTATACGCCCGCTAGCACGGCCGATCCCCAACTCTTCTCTCCAATTGCATCCCAGTCACCAGTGAGCAATGGCAACCATATGCCTTGAATCCACCGGTTGGACTTGTCGGGGAACAAAAATCCACCCACCAAACCGATGAGGTAGATGCGGGCGTAGCGCTCGACTTGTTCTTCCGGTGTCTCGTCATTGATTTCCACCTCTTGCTGGATGTGAGATACCAGCCACGGGACCGACACTTGCCCCGCATTCAACGGAGGATGCCCCCGTCCTAGAATTGGTGTGGTGGTCGGCATGTCGAAGCCCAAACGATCACGTATGAGCGGCCCCCAACCTCCTTCGGGTTTGGTCGTGGAACCAATGATTGCATCTCCAGAAATAGGAAGCCCGGTGAGGATCGCCACGTCTTTGAGGGTGATCGTCATTTCCCCCTCTGGAAGGTGGAATGTATGGGTTTCGGGACGCCATCGTTCCGCCATTGCCGTAAGCAGATCGTTGTCGATCTCGATCCGCAAGAAATGGCGCAACATTCCCAAACCGGTCCTCGCTATGTAGGGCTCCAACCTTGGATGCCAAGCGGGCAAGTTATTGGTCCCTTTATGAACCACGGGAACAAGCGATTCCTAAAACAAATAGGAAAAATAACAATTTATTAGATTAAATAAAGCAAAATAAAACCTTAGAAAATAATAAAATAAAGCAAGAATACTCAAAAAATTACCGGATAGTTATCCCAAATAGCACGGGAGCGATGAGCTTCTTGATCAGTTAAGAGACTCGCATCCCTTGGGCCATAATGGATATACAATCGAGGATCGTATATCTCGGCACCCATCTATAAAAAAGTAATGAAATCAGAGATTGTTTTGATAAAAAAACAAAAAATCAAATTGTTTCGATTAAAAAAATTCATAAACCAAAAACCTACACGAAGAGCCTCTTCGTCCATTTTTTGGCGTAGGCCGGACAGAGGTTCGACGATTTTAGGTTTGTAAGGGACGGGGGCTTTAGGGTCAAACTCTAGTAATTCTTTCTGATGTGGAAGATCGGACTTAGCCGCAACCACAGAGCATACTTAGAACGAGACTAGAGCGGATAAATTGAGGGAGAAAGAAGTGAAATGTTTGTGGGGTGAGTTGAAAGTGAAAGGGGAAGGGGGTATTTATAGTTGGGGGAAGGGGGGAGGCGCCTGCGCAGCATTCAATTGGAGCGCCTTCACCGCGTTAGTCAAACGCGGTGAACTCACCGCTGTCAACAAACGCGGTGAATGTCTAGGGGACGTGGCGTGTTGTGAGGCGTCGGATCGTGGGAAGAAAACCACGATCCGCGCCTCACCGCATCCAACGGCCACGGTGAAAGCAAATTGGCCCGGATCGCTGACGTAAACAAACACGGGGTATTCACCGTGTTTGTCTAACGCGGTGAATACCCCGCGTTTGTCCACGTCAGCTCCTTCACCGCGTTTAATAAAAACGGTGAAGTCTTCACCGTTTCAGTTTAAAACGGTGAAGCCTTCACCGTTTTTATTAAACGCGGTGAAGGCATCACCGTTTTTATTTAAAACGGTGAAATGTTCACCGTTTTTATCAAACGCGGTGATTACCTTCACTGCGTTTGTCAAAAACGGTGAATGCCAAACATGTGTACTTTGGGAATTTTTTTTATAACTTATGTATTTTGGGAATTTTTTTTAAAAACGTGTGTACAGTGGGATTTTTTCCGCTATACTTATGTACTAAAACTCAGCTGTAGCCTTGCGTATATATTTTACTGTGTTACCCGTATAGATCAATTATATTTCGTTGTTCACTTCACTTGCGTTGAAGCACATGACAAAGGAGAATAACGTGGAAATATTTGTGAACCAATGTCGGTATAAATCTCAATAACCTTTGAATACAAACAAACTTCATAAAATATGAAACATTCTCCGCATACATTTATATATAATCAAGCTACATTAGTACATATGTCCTAATCACTTTGGTTTGTAGTACTAGTACTATTTTCCGTCCGATGAACTACTACTACACACGCTAAAGAGAACTGAAATGGAATCAGATTGAAAGGTTTACCGGTGAAGGTTTCATAGATAGGGGCACTAGTGACGAGCTCCTTCAGATTTAAACCTCTGCAAAGCCTCGAGGTGAAATGGAACATCTTTTCAGAGATTGTCACCTGTGGGGAAAAAGACCCACCATGAAATTTAAGCTCTAAGAAACTGACATTAATTCGTGGAAACACATTTAGGAAGAGAACCCTGAATAATCAAGAAATAGGAAACCCTATGCAACCAGAAATTGGATTGGAATTCGATTCTGAGGCTTTAGGGTTTAAGATTGACAAACGAGTTGGCCGAATCACCTGGGAGTCTCGAAATTGATTCTTCTTCGAGTTCAGTCGTTGGACGATCGGAGAGTGGGAGGTGAATACTCTGCCTTCGTCGCCGGCTGTTCAGCGGCCGCCGCGGTTTTTTCTCCTGCTGGGGAAGATGCTAGGCTAATTTTGTTGTAATATTCATTATTCAGAGGATGGCCAACAAATGGGCTGTGCATTGGGCCTGCTTCCGGTTTGCGACTAGGAAACACAGACTACGCCCACACCTCATCACAAGCTTCGGCCCAATGAGTCAAACAGGTTTTCCGGCCCAATTGCTTTTGTTGAGATTGCAGAATCGGAGGTTGTACACTCGTGGTCGATAAGTGGATGGTAGAGTATTTTGTACTTAAAATATGGTATAAATGTGGTTCAATTGTTTCGTTCCGATAAAAATTTATATCGACGTCAATTCTCATAGGAGGGTTTTTAGTTGGACCGCTGGTACGGTTTTACTAGCACGGGCTTGAGTTATTAAAAAATGTGGGTAGGAAAATTTATATGGAGGGAATTGAATGGAGTGGTAAGTCAAACTGCAGTGGTTACTGGAAGAGTTGTATGGAGGGTTGTTATATGTTTGATTTGGAGGGAACATTGTTCCAGTCTGTATGGTTGTGCTGCTGAAAAAAATATATTGTTAATATTATATATATTTTTTGTTACCAAAAAGGAGTCTGGGAGGGAATTTTGGCCTTTGGACAAAATATAGTGCGGGGGATTTAAAAGTGTTTTGCGGGCTTGGGGAGGGAATTTTGGACCAAATTTTGGGCGGGGTTTTAAAAGTTCTTTTGTGGGTTTGGGGAGGAAATTTTGGGACAAATATTTGGGGATTGAATTGTTGAATTTTTATTTAAAAATTTTCCCTTAATTTTTTGGTGAACATTTTGTTCTTCCTTTGATATTTATTATTATAAATGATAAATTGTATACTGATTAACAAGTTTGTTGTTCGATCCGTTGGTCGGGATGTCATTTGAATATGATATATTTACGATGTACATTCATAAGTCAAACCGGTTTGATTAGATCGGTCCATTTCTAGTTAGTACTATCTAACTTTGGTCGTGAAACATTTGGCTGGGGGATTGTTAACTTAATTAGAAGTATGTATTTTAGCTCATAAGCTGGGCACACTAACTCTAGTTAATTAGGTACATGAATAGATGGAGATAATTAATGAAACAAGTAGTCACGTAGAAGAACAAACTAACCAACTGCTTATGAGCTAAACTACAATTAATTGGACCAACGGTCCAATCACTAATGAAATAAAGTAGCTAAAGTACAATTGGAACAAACTTAACCGTACCCATAAATATAATTCATCACAACACCAAAACCCCTTTACCGATTCGATTGACCCGCCAAGGGACAGCCAAATCAGTTACTATTCATATATTTAACAAAATTCTGGTAGTTGAGATCATCGAGAGTACTGACGAATGGATTTGAATTGAGAAATGCAAGTGATAGGCATTTTTAACTAATTTACTGCGATTTTTTGTTATAGCAGCAACTACAATTAATTTAGTGACCATTTACGACGACATGAGCCCTATTTATAAACCATAACATAGAAAAGAAAAGACAGATTATTTGAAGCATTTCTCTTGCCGCGTGAATGAAACAGGAACCTAGCTGTCTGACCATTCAATTCATGCTCTCATATTTTGTAAGGTTGGGAAAACGAACCTCAAATACAATACTAAGCCGAAATGTCCCTTTGTTTGTTTTTTTGGCCTGACCGACGAGATTCTCTGGAAAACAAACAAAGGAGGGTCTCTCATTAGTCATTACATTACAAGTCTGAGAAAGGAAAAGGAGAGAGATGGCTTCTTCCACTAGATCACTCCCTCTCTTTACTCGTAAAACAATGACGTAAGTAAACATAATAACTCCTAGCTAGCTAGTCCTCCATCAGCATTATGGTGGATCAGATCTGATTGGGAATCAAGACCCATATATATCAGTAGTGTAAACCACGCTACGTACGGATGATAGCTAGGAAGGTGAACAACAAGAAGAACTTACCCCCGGAAACGATAAGAGAATAGGGTTTCTTTCTTTCTTTCTTTCTTTCTTTCTTCTGGGTCGGAAACAGGAGCTTAAGTTTTCAGCTCCGGGAAGAGAGCTCGGCCGGACTGGTTTGACTGTTGGGACGAGTGAGTGTGTCTTCTTCAGTTCTTCTCCTTCTTAATGATGTGGGAAAAGGAGGGCCGATCGAGGGAGAAGAGAGGGGAAAGTAGGGTTTTCTTGATGAGATAATGACTGCTAGATAGACAAGGGAGAAGAAGAAGAAGAAGAAGAAGAAGAAGAAGAAGAAGAAGAGAGAGAGACGATCAAAGAAGAGATTTTGAACAGATCAAAGGACAAAGGGGGGAAGAGAAGAGATGGATGGAGGAACAAGGAGAAGTGGGGGAAAGGGAAAGGGAAAGGGAAAGGGGAAGGAAGAGGGAGGAAAACAGGTGTGGGCAGCCTGACAAGACAAGTTATTGCGGGGAGAGGGAGAGGGAGAAGAGCGTATTAATTGAGAGGGTGCACTTGCATTTATGTAGGGCCGAGAGAGAAGAGAGGGGAAAGTAGGGTTTTCTTGATGAGATAATGACTCCTAGATAGACAAGGGAGAAGAAGAAGAAGAAGAAGAGAGACGATCAAGGAAGAGATTTTGAACAGATCAAAGGACAAAGGGGGGGAAGAGAAGAGATGGATGGAGGAACAAGGAGAAGTGGGGGAAAGGGAAAGGGAAAGGGAAAGGGAAAGGAAGAGGGAGGAAAACAGGTGTGGGCAGCCTGACAAGACAAGTTATTGCGGGGAGAGGGAGAGGGAGAAGAGCGTATTAATTGAGAGGGTGCACTTGCATTTATGTAGCGCAAGAGCAAGAGCTGAGCAGGTTTTTAATGCTACCAGAGAGAGATGTTGTATATGAAAGAAAGATATATACACATGACATACACCTTCATGAGGATAGAGTTCGTTAGTTGATTTTGTGTTATTCTTTACATACCCACCAAGAAGTGTTAGTTAGTCATCTAAACTTTTTAATTTCGCCTTCTTTGCGCATGTTTACTGCTTTTGTATGTGTATCAATATGATTATGCTATGCTATGTTATGTTATTTTGCATTAAAACGGCCAGGCTACATGAAAACCACGTTAATTAAGGATTGAACTGCCTAAAAACCTCATCTCATATAGCATACCTTGGGAAACTTCTAGGCAAAGATTAAAATCCTATCAAGTAAACCTTACTGCCACGATTTTGTTCTCATTGTTTGAGTTCATCATTACACAAGAGTATTGCAGAAAGATAACTTCAACCTATTACTGTTAATTAGTTAATCATTTTATAGCAATTTTTGTTATTCAATCTTTGCCATGGTCTTTATTACGTGGAATTAAATAGAGATCAAAATGATAGACTAATTTTCTATAATGGATTGTTAAGTCTTGTTCAGCTTGTGAGACTTGTGAACTAGCACGACTAGGTGGTATGTTGAGTTCAACTCATGAACTCTCTTGTTTTGAGTTTATGTGATGTCTTAACATTGAGATAAGTGAGACAACTGGATTACCGAATTATGAGAAAATCAATCGATATCTTATGAGTTGTCTAATTGATAATTCATAGATTTATTAAATTTCATATACCACATGTTTAACATTTTGAGTATGTGAGCAAAGTTGTTTCATATATGTCATGAGATCAGTATGTATCATATATGACATACAAATATTAGTGTTTAATTTATAAATTATCATAGAGTCAAGCTCAAGCCAAACTCTTGATCTTAATGATGAGTCAAGTAGATTTTAATAAATGAGCCAGCTCGAACTCGACTTGACTCGGCTCGTTTATAAATGAGTCAAGCTCGAGCTCGAATGATTGCTTGACTGATCAAGGTTCCAATTGTTCTAATTATTTAGTTTCCATAATTATGTCAAAATGATGGATTATATATATTGAGCATAGTTAGTAAATACTCCATTTAATACACGTATTTGTACCCGTATGTATTATATCTGTTTAAAACTTTTGTATCCGTATTATTGTCAGGTCATTTCAATTTTTATGTTCATTTGATGGCTCTCATACTAAACACGAATAAAAACGTATTATATGTTTAATATCCGTATTTAATAAATTAAATTGTTAACTTTAATATTATTTATATATTCATATGTTTATAAAATAATTAAAATTTTATATATTTACCACTATTAACGTACTATTAAACATAACATTAATTTAAAGACAAAATAAAATACCCATACATATTTTATACCTAACTTTTCGTACCGTATTTTACTAACTATAATACTGAGAAGTGATTAAAGCTCTTGGACTATAGCCCAACATGTATAATATTATATTGAAGTTCACAACTGGAGAAGATCGTGTGCATGATAGATAGTTTAGAGAGGAATATTTTTTTTTTAGGGCTAATACCACTAGGAAACCCGAACTATTAACTTTGTGTCATTTGTGTCCTAAAATATTCGATATGATATTTGTGTCCTAAACTATTTTTCCGTTAGAGTGGACTGGCGTTGACCGTTAGTTTTTAACTAAAAGTCTAGTCAGATCTGACGTGGCATCTGACGTGGAATTTCATTATTTATTTTTATTTATTTTTCATAAAAGGAGAGTAAACTTACAGAAATTAAAAGAAAAAAATCTCTTGTCTCCTCTCTCCTCACTCGACACCGCTTCTCCAACCCTTCATCGCGTCGCGCCGCCGCCGAACATCCCCTTCCCTCCGCCAAACAGATCCAAGCCGAAGATCCCCAACGGGAAGGAAACTCCAATATCGACATCCAAACACACTCCAATATTGACCCATTTCCCGACATGGAAGCAGAAACTTTGCAGAGGCTTCACCTTCCTCCGCTGGTAATCAGGAACCCAATAGACGATGCATGTCGAATTCTCAAGGAATCGGCAGTCAGGGGAGATATTGGGGAAAAGAAGAACTTAGTGATTGAATAGAAGGGAAAGTCGAGGTAGCAGAAGAAGAAAAGGAGGTGACATTAAAGGTGGATGATCCGGATAGGGAGAAAATCCCTAAATCCCTAAATCGGAGCCTATCCTGCAAAATCCACTTCCGACCAGATCCAGGTTCTTCGTCAAATCCATACCCTGCAAAATCCCTAAATCGGAGCCTATCTCGCAACCAGTAGGGGCGATTCGGAGCTGATGACCAGATTTGTAGTCGCCACCACGAATCTGTTCGAGCTCCTCCGTGAAGCTCTTACGGGGCCCTTGAGGACTATCGCAGTCGTCAGTTCGGGTTGACTATCGCGAGCTTCAAGATTGTGTCGCGACGAGGAGAGGGATGAGGGACAGAGCCCTCATTGTTCCGCCGGAGTAGGATTAATCATCGTCGGTGGTCTCGTGCTTAATTGACCAAATTTTCTTCGCTAGGTTTTCTGGGTCACAGATCGTCGAAATTGGGGTTTTCTGGGTTTGGAAATTTTTTGAGAGAGAATCGAATAGTGCGAGAAGAACACAGACATTTTATTTTCTTAATTATTTTTTATTTTGTAATTTTTCTATTTTAATTTTGATTTATTTTTAAATTAAAAATATGAGGTGTCATTGCGTGGCATCTACGTGGCTGCCACGTCAACAAAAGTCAATGTTAATGTTGACTTCCGTTTGGTCAACCGTTATCTATAACGGTCAACGAAATCGTCAGGACATAAATGGCACACAACTATCATACGTTGTGACACAAATGTCATATCGAATACTTTAGGACACAAATGACACAAAGTTAATAGTTCGGGTTTCCCAGTGGTATTAGCCCTTTTTTATGGGCAATCAAAAAATTGCATTAAGCACTAGGGTTGCAAACTGCTAACCCCTCTCCAAGTACAAACTATAAGGTAATGGCAACAGCTCAAAGGACAAGACAAAAAACAAAACTCTATCTATGCATCATTCACATCAGCTAAGGCTTTGCAGCAAGTAACCATTTAACTTCCTCTTCAATTCTTCTAATCAGCACCCTGGGATTGCAGATCACAACATCATGAGTCCTGCAACATCTCTCTCTCCACACATAACTGATACACAAAGACCATCGCAAATGCCCTTCACCTTTCTTCCCTGCACCATTGTTCCACTGCCTCACTGCCCAAGTTAGATGATCCTGCCATGAGCTGAAAACAGGGATACTACAGAAGCGTGATAGAAAAGAGCACAAAACATGCCTACTATATGGACAGGCCGAGAATAAATGATCCCTTGACTCTACACCGCATGTACAAAGGACACATAAACCCTCACCAGCAAACCCCCAACTCTGCATTTTATCCTTAGTGACAACCCTATTAAGAATAACAAGCCATAGCAACAGACTGTGTTTCGGGCTATATGGCCTCCCACAAACAATTTTGTGTCATTCAACAACAGGCTGAAGGGTCCTGATAGATTGCCAGACAAGCTTTACAGAATATTTTGGCAGAATTTTACCATCCCAAGTAAGTGTTGATCCACTACCAGTTATATGTGACCTGACTCCAGTTCTACTCTTAAGAATTTTCCGCCAGATCCAAGTGCCTGCATACTGAGTTACCACATCCCATATAGACTTAAGCTTCAAGCGATACTTCTTCACCCATGCTACCCATAGAGAGCCAGATTCAGCTAGCAGATTCCAAATGTAGCGAACGACACAAGCTTGGTTCCATTTTTTAAAATCCCTTATCCCCAAGCCTCCTTCATTCTTTGGCAGGGCCACCAAATCCCAAGCAACCAGTGACCTCTTCCTTAGACTCGATCCTCCAACCCCCCACAAGAATTGGTTACATATTCTTTCAACATCTTTTAGTATTCTTTGTGGCAGTAAGAAAAAGGTCATCCAGTATTGCACAATACTTGTAAAAACAGATGACACTAATTGCAATCTACCCGCATAACTAAGCTTCTTTGCTTGCCAAGTTCTTATCTTTTTTGTTATCTTATCAAGAAGCACTAAACAGTCAGCAGAAGAGAGTTTACCTGAGATAAGTGGCACTCCAAGATAACGAACAGGCAGACTCCCCAAGGGAAACCTAGTAAAAGAGGAAATCCACTCCTTCTCATCTTCAGGGATACCACAACAAAATAATTGGCACTTAGCATGATTACAACGAAGACCATATTCCACATAGAAATGTGCAAGCAGCCTTTGTATCCCAGTCACCCCTCTTATATATCCATTTGTAAACACTAAGAGATCATCTGCAAAGCACAGATGGGTGATCTCTAGTGCTTTACAGCGTGGATGATATGGTACTTGATTATCCATAGATGCTCTGTGAATTAGACATGAGAAATACTCCATTGCCACTGTGAACAGGTATGGAGATAAGGGATCTCCTTGCCTAAGCCCCTTCCCAGCAGAGAAATAACCACACAGTTCTCCATTAAAGGAGACACTGAGTTTTGGGTGGTAACTGGAGTCAATAAAACTTGAACACCTTCTTCATCAAATCTCCTCTTAGCTGCTGCTGGAAATAGGTAACGGGAAGGAGTTTATCAACTTCCCTCAAAAGCTTTTTGTAAAACTTAACAGCCTCATCACCCATTTCCTTAACCTCAGTCACTTCTGTATTATCATCTCTAATCAGCTTCGTAATAGTCTGCTTATGGTTCCTTATTTTCACCATGACATGGAAATAAGCTGTGTTTGCATCACCCTCCTGTATCTTTCTAATTTTGGATTTTTGCCTGAAGAAACTCTCTTCTGCCAACTGCAAATTACGACAAAAGTCAGCCAGTTCAAGCTCCTTTCGCGCATTCTCTTCAGTAGGATCTTGGAAAACTATCTGTTGTTGCTGTTCAAGTGCACATTTTGCTGCTCTTGTCCTCTCAGATATATCAGAATACTCCGACCGATTTAACTTCTTTAGCTTGGTCTTTCATACCTTTAGCTTACTGTATAATTGCTTATAATATAACCCTCTAACTGATTCACCCCAAGCTTCTTCTAGCAGCACTTGGTATTGAGGATGCTTCTGCCAGTACTTGAAATACTTGAAGGGTTTGGGAAGTGAGCCTAGAAAAGGAGTAGAATCCAACACCAGACCACAATGATCTGAGACCCCCGGAGCCAAAGTTCTTACAACACTCTGAGGAAAGAAAAGAAACAAGTCTTCATTCACAAGGAACCGATCTAGTTTCTTTGCTATGGGGTTTGCTGATTGCTTGTTCCACCATGTAAACTGCGAGCCAAGGATCTTATGATCAATCAAACACATATCCGAAACCCCGTCCCGGAAGTCCAATCCCCCCTGAGTCATAACCGTAGTATTAGAACCCTCCTTTATATCCATAATAGCGTTAAAATCACCCATAAAGACACCTGGTTCACCGTAACCTTCCAGGGCAGTAACTCCGAGTACATTTCCAATCTTTCCTTTGCTTTGTTAGGGCTATAGATAGCAGTAACATTACATCTTGACAACCCTTCAACCCCGACCTGAATGAAGTGCTCTCCCATTTTAACTAGCTGAACTTGCAAACTGGGCTTCCAAAAAAGCAAAACCCTCCCTGAAGCTGAATGTGCATAGTTATCCAAATGTTTCCACGCACTAAAATGACGCTGTATAATATATGTTGCATTCTTTTCTAATACTCTAGTTTCTAAAATTGCTGCAAAATCGATATTCAACTTTATTAACTATTTACTAATGTACCTATGCTTCTCAGGGGCATTAAACCCCCGAGATTCCAACTAAGGAACTTCATTTGTGCTTCTTACCCCTCCCCCTCTTAGGAGGACCCCTGATAACCAAAGCTTGACCTTGAGCAGCAGAAGGAAAGGCCCTAAGAGCAGTATCATATGCAATTCCTTTGCCCCTTCCTTGTGACCAATTGAAAACCATCTTCATCAATCAGCTTACCAGAGAGGGAATGAAGAGGAGTAGATGTCCCTGCTGAACTTAGGCCTGCCACTGGAGCTGGGCCGTCATCCATTGAAGAGCCAGCTACTGGAACTGGACTTGAGCCAGAGACTGTACTTGAGCCAGAGACTGGACTTCCTTTCACTGGACCTCCTACATTTGAACCAGAGACAGGAACTGGACTACCTTCCATTGAGCCAGCTACTAGAACTGGACCACCTTCAGTTGGCAGAGCAGCCATTGCACTTCCTCCACTGACTGAGCCAGCTACTAGAGTTGAGCCTCCTTCATTAGACTTTCCTGTCAAGCTTGCCCTGGTTTTAGATACCCAAGTTACTTCATCAGTCATATCCTCCGCCCTGATTAACTCACTACCTTTGATAGCCTGCACTTCTTTGCTCTCCTTACCCTCCCTCTCACAATGCCCAAACTCCTTGCACTGCTTGCACATCATAGGAGCATGAAGATAACGAACTCCCATATACAACAGCCCCTCCCCTTCTGGTGTAACACTTATTTTGTCCGGGAAATCAAAATCAGCAGAAATCTCTACACAAACTCTTGCCATACCAGCTTGGGCACCTAGCCTTGTTGCTTGATCCATCCAGAGTGGTTTACCCAGAAGGCCAGTGATCCTACTCAAACCCTCCACCGTACTGTATTCAAGTGGCAACGCACTGAGTCGAACCCAAATAGCAAGCAACTTCAGACTCATGTTAACTGTTTGGATTCCCGGAACCCAGCGTCGAAGTAAGAGGGTGTTATTATTATAGTGCCATGGCCCGTTCTCAAACACCCAGGTGCTTGCATCTGGATCTGAAAATTGGAAGAGAAACATACGATCCCCAAAGTGAGAGACTGTTACCCTACCGTCTCGCCCCCAGAATTGCCTCGCCCATCGTCTTAGTTGATCAATCTCTAGCGCCGTCGAAAGAAATTCCCTACCAGAGCGTGCCGCCAACGAACAACACCTTCCTCTCGCACCACTCGTGGGATGACTAAGGATCCATTTACTATATCTGGGGCAACATACTGCAAGCAATTGGGCTCTCCGACGCCAAACAGTTGCCGCCAATTTGCCGGAGCGCCCTGCTCGGTGGCCATCGGCCGTAATCGCGAAACTCTCTTCTCAACCCTACCTTCAGAGAAAAAAACAAAAAAACTTTTTTTTCCCCTCTGTCCTTTGGTCTCGGAGAGGAATATTGTCTTAAATAAAAACTAGTTTTTTACTCTGTTTATCTTATTTGTTATTACTGCTAATCAATTCATTCATATTTTTAATTTATTTTTAGTATTTTCAATAGTTTATTAAAGAGTCGGAAATAATCTTTGAATTACTTGATAATTGTGATATTGGAATAATTAGTTTAAATGTATTTTTATTGATCGGGTTATCCTAAGTTACTACGGTCTATATATAACTCATATTAAAAAATTTGCACTACTTATTGTTAACATAAATTTATTAAAAGTATTTCTTCATACCGACATTATTAACTTGTTTCTCGATTAAATTCAAACAAACTAAGATAATATGCATTGAATAGTAATTAAAAACTTCAAAGAATTAGCCTATTGCTAATATGGAAGCATACTATTTATCATTTAATGGGTTCAAACTTTATGGCCAACAATCATCTAAAAAGATAATAATTAATAATACATGAATTATTAAGTACTAATTCAATAAATAGTAATATATATATGACGACTACTTCGGTGAACTAGCAAAAATGACTGCGTTCAATGCACCCAACTCAAAAACTAGTCTTAAGGTGTCGAATTTTGAATTTTAATTTGTAGGAATAGTGTAATATGATGATATAACATATGATAACAACTAATTAGCGGATTACCCTAAGCCCTAGACCTCCAATTTTGAGTTCTATCCCTAAACCCCAAATTATAAATCCTAACTCAAACCCTAAATCTCTAAACTCTAAATCCTTCAAATTAAAGTAGATCTTTAATGGTTTTTGTGCAAATTCATGTGCGTTAGTGTTCATCACATCATAAGTCATGATTGACATCATTTTGACATAAATTGCATGTGTTTCAAATGACGGTTATGAAACAAGTGCACTGAATGCACCCAAAAAAGTGAGTGCACTGAAGACGCCACCATATATATATATATATATATGGGGAGTTCTATGGTACCCCGGGTGAAATCCGGGGTACCGCATACCTTGAGTAAGAAAACGCTATCTAGAACTTGAATTGACTAATCTTTCGGACATGATACTATACTCTAACCCTTAAAGATCAACATCTAGGTCTTAATTCTCTAAATCTTATACCCGAAGATCAATTTAATTAGAAACAAGAATCGACGGTTATGATTCGTCCGAATACAGGTAAAAAAATCAATGCACCATCTTAGGGTTTATAGTTTATGATTTAGATAATTAGGACCTAGGGTTCACTCATTAAGGGCTAGGGTATAGTATCATGCCCAAAAATCTTGGTAATTCGAGGTCTAGATAGCGTTTTTATACTCAAGATATGCGGTACCCCGGATTTCACCCGGGGTACCGTAGAAGGCACCATATATATATATATATATGCGTTAGACTCGTATGCTCCTGACGCATAGTATGCTCCAGATTCTCAGTACCGTTGATCTAATCTAACGGTGTTTGTTAAATCTATTTTAATTATTTATTATTTACAATTTTAAAATAATTAGTCGATACCAATACATTTTTGTACGTGCTCTTTAGTCCCTACACAAAATTTTCATATATTTTTGTATTAACGTACCTAATTTTCTTCTAATAATAACTTGAACACAAATTTTCTGATTGTATCTCCATCAAGTTACGTTTAATTTCTACTAAAGTTTGTAGATCTATCCCCAGAGCAATTTTGTCGTTTCAACACCAAATCCCCCTTTCCCATTTTCCCTTTATCGTGAGTGACGAACCCTATCTTCTCATCCATAACTATCGAATCAGTTCTCCTCCCAAGCCCTCTCCAATTGCTAAATTTTTTGTGCTTCCCGTCGCTATCTACGGATTAAGGAAGTGATCGATTAGTATGGTTCTGTTCGAGGATTGAGGGATTGAATCGCGGGCTCGAGAGGTGGACGAGGAAGGACTGATCAGAAAATAAATTTTACGGTCTGAACGTTTCCAGACGAAACCACAGACTCGATAGCTAGGGGAAGGGCTGAATGGCGAAGAAACTCCATACTTGAAATGTCTTAAACAAAATCGATGGAGATAGCGGTGGAGAGGCGACGTCGAACAGTTGGAAGGGGAATTGGAAATAGCAGATGGAGAAGCTAAATCGGTAACCGCCTGTGTCTCCATCGATGATATTTTCGTTTGTTGTTTTCACAAGCTTCGTGACTATCATTTTGCAGTCCGCCAACTGCAATCCTGTCTAAGTTGTGCTTATGATAACCGACGGAATTGCTTCTCTAATTTTCACTAGTACTGCAGAAGTGGAAAGGTGGGGAAAAGCTTGATCGAGCTTGGATGTGACTGGAAGACCGAGATGCAGGCGGCGGGAACCGGTGTTGTCAACACATTGTCTGGTATGGATTTATATTCTTGAATCTATATTTAAAATTAAACACAAGTAGTAATTTCTCTGTTTCTTCTTCTATTTTGGGCTTTCATTGCTCTAATTATTGTTCGTTATTTGATTGTGGTGGTGAGAAAGATTGGAGAAGGATTTCTTGGATTCAGGTTTCGTGGTGGTGGATCACGTTCGATTTGGCCGAATTTGATATGGGTGGGTGCTTTCCTTGTGTCGGACCATCGAACAAGAACGGCAGCAGAAACATCCACGACGAAGCTGGAAGTGGATGCAAAGAAGCTGCGAAGAAAGATTTAGCTTCAGTTTCGGACCATCAATTAATAACCTCACTAGGAATTAAATGCCTCGGGTGTAACTTCTCTATATCATACTTCAGTGAAGTTCGATTAACAAATGGCAACAAGCTCTGAGTTGTTTCTTGTGGATCCTTTTTTGTTTGCAGGTTGAGAATCTAGAGGGGAAAAGGTGGGGTTGTTCCTAGGCATTGAGCAAAGGAGCGAGATGCTCTTTACTGGAAGAAGGAGCTTAAATAGTCTGAGGGGGACCTCTATAGGCTTAAGTAGCAGATTCTTTGAGCTATAAAATCTCAAATCATAGCTCGATGCTGCTTCTGCTTTGGTGGTTGAGCTGAAGGCTTAATTGGCAGCTTACATTACATGGAGTCAAAAGTTAATTGGCAGCTTACATTCACTATACACCAGAGGGACCATTCTTTCAAGAGTCGACAACCATTCACTATCAACCATTAAAAAAGAAACACTGGCAAGGGACCATTGTCACCAGCAACATCCCAAAACAAATCCCCAAAAACCAATAATAGCATACAAAGAGAATTCATTGCCCCTTGCACCCCGTAAAAGATCACAACAACTAGCTCTCAGGCTCTCAGTTCTTGGCTCTACACATAGACAGAAGTAGCCTGTCGCTAGACTCAATTCATTTGCTGCCATCCACCTCTCTACTAATTAAGCCTGGTTCCAGTCTTTGTGACAGAAGCAACCTTCTCTTTAGTAAAGCAAGCCATCCTTCAGCAACTTCCCGCTCTACTTTCATTGTACTAATTAGCCAACTTGTTAGTTGACAGCCAATTATATAGCAAACAACCTGCGGCATGGCTGAAACCTCCTCAAAGATTCTAGCGTTTCTCTCCTTCCACAAACTCCAGCAGAGTGCATGTAGTAATTTTTTGTACACCACTCACTTGGATTCTTCGGTTTTTGCTGAGACCATTCTGCATTTGCTATTGATATACCACTCTAAACTTACTAATGAGTTCCCACAACTTCGCAAAGCTAAATCTGATAAAGATATGATCAATGTCTTTCTCGGCTGTCAAACACAAAACACATCTACTCGGTAGCTCCCATCCATACCTCTTCAATGCATCCGACGCTAAGATCCTTTTTTGGTATACAGTCCACATGAACGAGCAAACCTTGGGAATTTGCTGCTACCATGTTGTTTTGAAAGGGAAGCCTGCCATCCCGGAAACTTGTCCTGACTGAGAAACCAGCAGTCAGAGAGGGATGCCAAGATCTCTGTAATAATATAGGAGAACAAAGGCACAATTAGAGAAGAGGGAAACCAGGACAACATTCACTAGTTCTAGAAAGTAAGATAAATACTCACATTCGGGATATTATAAGGTCGGTATCATTTATGTCTGGCCAGCATGTTAACCTTCCCAAGCATCCCATTTCGTAGCAGCACAAGGATCTCTAATCTAACCCATCCTATCAAGAACTATGAGAGAGCCTTGCAGCTGATGCAATAAAAAAGAACAGGAAACATGAACCTCAATCAACATTCCTATTCTGACTTCTGAGTACATGAATAGATCAACCTCTGGGGTCAAAATATGCGCGAGGCTGCAACAATAAGGAAATGGTTCAATTCAGTCTTGGATTTTTAAGGAAAGGGAAAAAGAAAATGAAAAGCATGGGAGAACCAGCTAACGAACCCATTATAAGAAGTCAGAACAATGGGTGAAATACTTAACAACATGTATTGGTGCTCAACATCTCACTTAATGAGTTAGTGTGAAATTCTGAAACCGAGCATCACTAAAAGTCTAGTCTACAAAAAATCCTCATTACAACAACCACAGAAGAATCTGGATCCATTCAGCTTCCGTGGTGTAATCAATCTTCTAAAAAAATTTAGTCCCATCTACTGTTAGCAATTCTATAGATAATGGTTAGGTTGGGATGAGAAACCCGTAATTGCTATAAAGACGCATTTCTCTCTTTGCCAACTATCCTAATATCTACTGCATGTATTATAACTGCTTTTGATCACAATGCACCACACCTTGTAGATGACAGAAAGATACAACATTCAATATCTGCACAATTACCGCCTTTGCATCATCTTCTGGGTATTTTCAACCTCAAAAGAACAACAAGTACCGTCCCTGAGCTCCCCCAGTACAAAAAAGAGACTAGACCTAAAATAGCTAATCTACAAAGATACATCCTAAAATATCAAGTATAACTAGAACATGGAGAGAAATCAAACCTTGTAAGTATTCTATCCTAGAGCTCACCCCCTACGCATAACCTGAATTGTTAATAGCAACTTATCAGCTTGCAGAAGGCCACATGATTTCACAAAGGTGATAATAAAGCGGTTCAAAATCTTAATTAGTAAGCAACCAATTCATAGGCCCCAATCAACCAGATTATGATTCATTCATGTCAAATTTAATAAAAATGGTCATTAGTAAGCAACTGTAGTAAGGGACAAGTGCATAATTTCTCTTCTTAGCCATAAGAGAAAATGCATACATTGTAGCACATAATCTGTAATGAATAGTTCAGTTGCTGACAAGCATTAGACTCAACACGGCTAGATCCGTAGTTAAAAAGGCAACCCATTTGTGGTCTACAAGTCAGCAAAAATCACCTTGGGTGGCAGTACGACCAAACACCTGGTTAAACTGAAAATGCCTCCTCGCCATCTCCTCAACCGGAATGCCTACAAAACATATATGAATCAATGAACACTGTCAGGGAGAAACACTGATATTTTACATAATCAGAATACCCAGGCTGATGCAAGCAGAATTCTTTGTAGAGGAGTTTCATGCTATAAAACTCTAAACAAGATAGATTCTAAGTAGAACAACATCTGCTACAAATTGTGTGAGATCACTCTACAACTGGGAATGCAAGCCTTCGAACTCCTTTCTTGCCATTGCCCATAATGTCAGCAGATCCTGTAGAGTATATACAAATTCTGAATTCAGGAACAGTCTTGAAAAAGATTGGAACTTTAATTGCCTGCCTTCTAATTACATAATGTCTGCAGATCATGTACAGTGCAATTACATAATGACTCGTTGCATATTTTCTAGATCGGGTTTAATTTCCTATTGTCTGGATTGACTAACCTTGCCACAACCTCTTCTTTAAAGGAGGTGAGAAATTTGCACCCATGTTTTCCTTCATCAGCCATATACTCCACAATTCACCCTCTATTAATACCCTGCAAGAGGTCAAAAAAGCAGAAGGTTAAGTTCAACCAACTATGACATTTCTTCCACCAAGTTATATTAATCCAACCCTAGTGCTCAGACAACTAACGAATCTGCACTATCAAGCATATGGTGAAATGGAAATCTGAAATATACCCATTTTCAGAAACCAATTCATAAGCCCCAAATCGACCAGATTTCCAACTAACACGAGCATCTCTCCAAACACTGAAGAAACCTCTCATAGAAATAACAGAATAATGAATCATAAATGGATTAGAAGGAAGTTCTTACAACTCACCCTCCTGTTCGAACAACTTTAGCCTCCATCCCATACCATGGCCATCACTTTGAGGAACCTGTAAACTGCTAATTTGTCAGTGATACTCTTAACAACACATTAACACGGAAATATGACATCACCTTTCAGTAGGAGCAGAAAACTAAAATTAGTTGCTTTTCTAAAAGCCCATCATCAAATTCCAATAGCGTTTGAGAAGTGTCGAAACCTCATATCTACGCAACAATCATAGAATTAGCACTCTCATTCGGCACGTCTCGATGGAATACCAATCATCTACCACATATCTACGCAACAATCTATTCTAGTTAGCAATACATTTGATTCAGCTTTCTAATTTGAGAAATATTATCAACCTAATGTAAGGAAAAAGCAACTGAGAAATCAAGGCCACAAAAAGATCAAATAAACAACTTGCTTTCAGATCAAAGTCCATGTCAATATTTCTTAGCGTTCCCTTCACCTCTGTAAGATTCTCCTATGCGGCTTGCGCTGCTTTCTTAGCCAACTTCTCCTGCAGAGCCTTGGCGTCCCTGCGCACAGAAAGCACAACTCAAAATTCAAAATCGCTACCTTTCCCTTCACATCCTGCTCAAAAGACAACTAATTGCTAATTATAAGAAATTCTACTCTTTGCATTTCAAACAGAAAGTTGATTTTAACAAAACAAAACAATCCACATATAAGGTATAACTCAACGAAAGACACCATTCTTTCAACCAATTCTAATCAATCAAACCCCACTACTCAGAGAACTCTCCGAAGCACGATCAAACATATCGTGGAGCATAATCAATTAAGTTTTTTAACCCATAAATCTGAACGGGGGAAGGAGGAGCAATATCCAACTTTGAATAACTCGGTTGTGTCTTCCAGAGGGACCACCTTCGCCGAGCTGGGCCTCGAAGACCTGGTGTATTTGTTTAGGAAAAGTGGGTTGATTGGAAACTGAAACGAGGGGGTGAGGACTGCTTGCAAGACTGTGGGTTGGAGCACTCGAGGGTTAGAACAAATGAGATAATGGGCGGCTTCTCATGATAGGAAGAGGCCAAAATTTTGGCGGATAGAACAAAATGGTTTTGTGAAAATGGAAAAGTGAAATTAAAAAATATTCAATTTTGTCTCCTTCCCGCTTGGAACGAAAATGTGGAGGGAATCTTAAATGTAATTACTAATTACTTCTTTCCAATTTCACCCCAACTAAAAATTAGGGTTGATGGACTGGTGGTTTAGGTTTAGTCGGTTTAATCATCCAATTCATATACTTTGATTTTTAAAATACTAAATTCAAAATACTCAACAATATTAGCATCTTACGATTTGTTTGTGATCATGTTGGATAAGGTAAATACATTTGAGAAACATTTACCGAACAAAGTTGAAGATGTTATTCCTTATAAGCTACACAAAATGCTAATATGATATCCTATACAATATGTTTGGTGTATGAAACTCAGTACAATAATTGTAACATGGGTTGGGTCATGAATCTACGGGTTGCTATCATACAGGTTGAACTTAAGACATCCGAACTTAGGACATATAGGTTGAAGACTAGCGGTTTAGACACTACTAAGGTTGAAGCCAAACAAGGTACCTCAATGCCCATACTCACTCCGAATTAAGTGCGGGTCATGCCGGATTATACTCGCGCGGGACAGTTCGACCTACTCTTATATGTTATCTGGAAAAATAAGGTCGATATTGAAATCTTTTACATAACATAGAGAAAATACTTTATAAATGAATTATAAATATAGTAAAATGAATACTTGAGTCTAAATAATTAA